AAAAAAAAAATTATACTTAAAAATGTACTTTAACTTTTTTAACATTTTACTATACTTTTTGTTTTATTTCTCTAAATTTTTTAATGATCAAGCAAAAAGGCCTCACCTTCCCTTTTCTCGAACAGTTCTTTCAGTTTTGCAGAGCTGTATTAAAATTGCTATGCACAACTTTTTAGTATACAAATAAAATGATGTGTTTTTCAGGTTTAAAAAAATGTGGCAGTGCTACTATACACACACGCGCACACACATGTGCACACACAATAGCACTTCATTATGCATAGATTAAGAAAATGTACCATGGCAAAACTAGTAAGTTAAATAATACTTTGGGATGGATTTATAATTCCTTATTCATAATAACATCTATGCTGAAATCTAGCAGCTACAAGTTGTATTTTCTTATTCTACCCACTATCTCCTTTACTGCTTGGTGCACATGGGTCTGCAAGTCTCTTGCAATCATTCTTTATCCAGAGTCCCAAGTTGAGAATCTCAGGACAGCACCAAGTATACCCCATACAGTACTTTCTATTACTTCCCCTCAAGTCTTTTTTGAAATAATTTTTTTCTGTCCTTTCCTTCCTGTCTACTCTTTTTGCAGAAGTTCCAATGAAATGTAATAATCAATACACAGGCAGTAGGCAGGTGTTTGTGGCTCATGCCTGTAATCCTAGCTACTTGGGAGGCTGAGATCGGGAAGATCAAGGTTCAAGACTAGCCAGAGAAAAGTTTGTGAGGCCCCCCGTCTTCAAATAAGCAGAGCAAAATGGATTGGAGAAGTGGCTCACAAGGTAGAGTGACTGCTTTGCAAGCATGAAGTCCTGAATTCAAACCCCAGTCCCACAAAAACAAAAACAGAAAAAACACAGATGGAGGTGGCCAGCCTCACATGGAGGCCAAGGTCACAGTTCCTGCTGCACATCTATAAAGCCGGCCTCCTGTCCCCAGCATTGAGCCAGGGAGCCATGTGGAGTCATGGAAACTGGGCTAAGAGGGTGAATCACAGTAATCGGGCTGCTCACTTTCCTTGTAGACTCTGTTAATTTCCTGCAGCTCCTGGTTGGTTCTTGAGCAGATGATCTCAATAAGTGAGTCCTCATCAGTCCCCAGCCCCTGTAAACCAAGCAGGAAAACATCAGCCATCTTCCTCATCACTGGCATACTTCTCTAATCTCCATCAGGTAAACTACAAATACGGAGCAAGTTCATTAGCACTCCCCTTTCCACATTTCCTACTGAGTCATCTGTACTACACTCCTCAACACAAAATAAGGGCATTCTTCTATTGCTTCACCAAGGCGCAAGGTGTACGGGAGGCATGCTGGAGTTCAGCTATGTTTCTAAAGAAAGTGAATGAAAAGAGGCAGCAATAGAGTATACCCAATGTTAAAAGTGGTCATCTTTTGGTGATGGGTTTATAACATAATTTCTTCTTCCTATTTTTCTTTATTTTTTCATTTCTATCATAACTACCCACTATTTTAATAGATGGGAAATAACATTCTTCATTAAGCAATTCTTCTCACTCATCTGAAATAAAGGGCTATAGAAAATTTATATTGTCATTTGCAGCCAGCATCAGTAAATTAGAATATCTTCTTGCCAGAGAAAAGTACAGTGAAGATTAAATTTTTAGCTTCTCTTCTTTGAAATGTAAAATTGGGTTAATGTTAAAATTTTCATTATTGTACTCCCATTTTGGCTTGATCTTATGCATTCTTCAGGCATTTTAGGGAAGCAAAAAGGAAATAATGAAGTGCCAAATAAACGTAGACACCAACACTTTATTAAGGAAAAAAGAATTTGATGAGTGATATATTTAAATTTAATATATACACTTCTGAGCATGCCGGATAGCTTGAAAGGACTTGACGAATCATGTATTTCAAAGCTGGCTTCATGATCAAAGTCAAGATTTAATAATCAGGACTCTCTAATACTTGTCTTTCGGAATATGGAAAAATCACTTTGAACTAAGTAGAATTACAACTGTTTAAAATGTAAATCAATTATAAGGTGTTAATGCAATAAGAAACTTACTTATCCACATGAAAAGTGTGTCAGCTATTAATTAAACTTATTAGAGTTTATATGTCCCTGAAAAAGTGTCTCATATAATCTAAGCTAAGCCTCAGGTTAATGGTTAATTTTGAATTTTATTCTTAATCGAATCTTTGAGCCAATGGCTCTTCTTCCAGAGTTTTCATCATGATTTATAGAGGTTCTAGCAAAGCCACAAACTTCTCCCTTGTTAGCAAAAGGTCCAACGGCATTCTGTATAGATGTCATAAAATGACTACTGAGCATCTCTGAATATTTTAAGGAGCGGCAGTTCTTCAACCTACGAAGGAGGGAAATAGAGCCTAAAAGTAACTCATGCCTTGGAAGAAATACCATTTCCTGACTTGGAAGAAATGAGATGGTCATGGTAACAGAAGGTTTGTTTTATCCCATCTCTGATACACCATGTTAATATTTGAGAATTCTAATAGTATTTTATCTCTACAATGGAAGGTGACCTTGGCAATTTCCAAAATTTGGCCCAAGCTTTCCACAGATTGCCCACAATTCCCATCTCAAGGGCAACTTCTCCTGTAACGTATGGCAGATACTGCTACTGGTATCGCCGAAAGTCAAAACAGATTTTTTAAAAGCATGGTTCAGTTAATGTTACTTCAAGCTTTATGGATTTCAGAAAGGTATTCAACTGTGATAGCTAATGGAAGAGCTGGCACAAGGTCAAAGATTTAACAGTTAAAGCACCTTTCATTGGGTCCAATTGCATAGACTCCAACAGTGACTGGCAACTCAAACAGGTCTGTCTGTCCCAAGTCAATAATACCTAGTAATAGATATGGGTAAAATCACATGAATCACAACTAAATGGACTCTTGTTGGAAATAAGATAAAGTGATCTGAAGTGTTGACAGTCAGAGGAAACCTAGGAAAGACTGGCTCATGCATGGCTCAAAAGGCCCAAAGACTTGGTGTTCAGGAGTGCTGCCTTCATCATGCAGTATCATGAACAGTTGTTGACATGTCACCATTCTTAATTACCCCTTCCCTGCAGTATGGCCTGCTTAAGAAACGCAAATCCAGTCCACTCAAATTAACCAAGCACAGCTTGAGAGAGGCTGAAGAACTGAAGGGAAAAAGATTTCACAAGTCATTCTGCAGTCCTGAGCTATCAAGTCTGGGGTCCTGGCATTGCCCTGTGTGTGACGCAGCCTCATTCTTGAGGTGCTCTCTGCGGAAAGGATGACAACAAAATGCTAACATTAGCTACGGTGACAGACTTACAGCTCAGTATGCTCATAATTCAGAAACAGTGACATCACCAAAGATGCGCTGAGATCTACATTACAAAGAAATACAGCTTTCCCCCTACTGGGGAGGCTTTACCTAGCTGGACCAGCAGAGGGCAGCATGTGATTATTCAAAGTATAGCGAGCACACGCTAGGAAAAGGAGACCTATGCCTTGCAGTCACATACATTTATACATCTGTTACATTTAAGTAATATTTAGTGGTTTAGCGATGCACAAAATGCAAGGGGTTTCCAACCTAGACTTTTACATTTTAACCTGAAAATCCATATTCAAAATAACTTCTCAACAGCAAAACACAAGAAATAATATGTATTTCCAAGACTTCAAACTAAACCTGGGAACCATGCACAATCTGAAATCACCCTTTATGTGCACTGTGCACAGGATTTGGGTCCAAATTTGAAACAATGGGACATGACAGGGAGAAAGCCCGAGAAGGAAGACCATGAGCAAAATTTGCAAGCTTCATTTAACAAAAGCTATGAGTTTTTCTTTTTAATATCACAACATATCTTTCTTAAAGAGGAAGTGTAATCAAGGAAGTAGTTTTCCCAAATGGCATTCCAATCGCCCAGGTGCCAAGCAGTAGCAGCTGGTAAGTGACTTCTCAGCATGAAAATTTCTTTACAATCTTAAAAAAAAAAGCAATTGAAATATTTTTGGTATGAATCCTGAAACTTACAGCTTCAATTTGTTCATTCAAACAAATAAAAAAGATTCCAAATGAGAATTCAACAAAACTGAAAATCACTTAATTACACTCAAAAAAGCTGCAATTCACAAATATTAATGGCAGAGTTGACAGAGATGAAGTCTCACATGTGTTTACCTTCATGGAAGCTTTTAGCTCAGAAGCGTCATACTGAGCAGGTGTCTTCAATAGGCCCAAAATCACTGTCTCCAGGTGGCCAGATAAGGCTGACTTCAGTGCTGATGGAAGTTCCTTCAGAAAAACAGGCAATCAAACACATGGAAGATATGGTTGGTAACCAATAATCATTTTTAAACCAAGCAAGTAAAACTCAAGAAGGGAGCTCTGATGAAAAGCAGATTGTAAGCCTTTCACAGCCTTGGGGCCTGGGATCAAAAACCCCTGTTTACTAGACTCAGATGTCAGAAACAACTTCCACTAATGTCTAAGCTGAGTTTGCCTTCTCCTCCAATCACTCAAAAGAAACCTGAGTAGCCTACAACCCCTCAGATGGCTCAGAGTGGAAAGTCTTACCTCTACATTTACACCCCATGGAAGACAGGACATTCCTGGGTCAAGGCCTCTCTCAAGTTCAAGGGGAGCCTTGGGAAGCAGAGTCCTTGTGCCCACTGAGAGCTCACAAAAGATGTTTGTGAAGCTGCTCCAGTGGTGGGGCCCCAAAGCTTCCAGAAAGAACCAGAAACCCCAACATGGCTGGAAATGAGGTTATAAGGCTTCCCCATCTAACTGTATTTGTCCACAGCAAACTGGGACCGGGTTAATGGAGATGAAGGGGAACTAAAGGCCCTCTTGGCACCCCCTCTTGACTTTCAGCACATAGTCTTTTTAAAGGGTCTCAGTGTCACCATGACCTCAGCTTTTAAGTCAGAGGTCTGAGACAGTCCCCATGTATGTAAATAGATAAGCCCAATTCAATGTGGCTTTCACCAATCATGGCCATTGCTCTGTGACTGAATCCTCCCTCTATAATTATTCTTTCTTTTCACTTTTACTCTTTCCTCTCTTAATTTTTTTCCCTCCTGTTTTCCAACAGCACCCATGGCATCCATAAAGTTTAGCCCCACAAGGCTCCTGCAAACTCTAGGAGGTGATTTGTAGCCCACTTCGGAGACAATCTCCCCAAATCCTTCCTAGTGGCCAAGAATGTTAGAATGACAGGGGTCTGAGAAATCTGAGGACCCAGCCCCTTTACTACCTGCACATGGTGATTCAGAGGGATTTTCAAAGCAAGACATTCCAATGACAATTTGAAAAATGCCAGTTTTCCAATTTGGAACTTTGAGGTTAGGTGATTCCAAACTTAGCCTACCCTTGTCACTGCCCACTACCTATTCCCTGCTCAAACCTCAAATAGTATCTGGGTTCCTACTGACTTCTTCCACTTCTATTCTGAACTCCTTATGGGTATTCAACTTCCTGTTTCTTAGAATGTACACACAGGAATTAACACTTGACAAAAGTCCCAGAGATGATTGATAAACACAACTGTAGCCTATATAGGGAAACCTGGTACCTGACACCTGCTCCAATATGAAAGGAGCATAAAATCAGAACCACTACCTGCTCCTTTCACCTTGTGCTGGCTGTGCCCAGGTCTGCAAACTCACACTTGGGCAGTTTTTGTCTCATCCCTCCCGTACTCAGCAAACTCATCTGAAATGAGAAGGCTCTGCTTCTAGGATTTCCTTCCTCAACTATCTCAAGTAGTTTATTTCTCTTTCTCTTTCTGTAAAAGAAAACTCTCCCTGGCCCAAGGCTGGAACTCATCAAGAGTCAGTTGAACAGAGCTGGCCAAGTGGCTATAGTGGTAGATCACCCTCCTAGCAAGCACTAGGCCCTGGGTTCAAACCCTAGTCAGTACCACCAAAAATAAAATAAAATTTAAAAAAAGAAAAAGAAGAAGAATCAGTAGAGAAGAGAGTTGTTCCCAGCACACAGCAGAGCCTGTGCAGTTGCTGACCCCCACTATGATTCTGGAAATATCTCCCCTCTAATAAGGGTACGTGAGAGTTTTGTTCTCCATCTATTTAATCTGAAATCAAGATCTGGACTTCTGTGTTTGTGTATTACACACAGTTCCAAGATCTCACTCTGTAAGTGACAGCTGAACGAACAATTATTTCCTTCTGTCCAAAGTGGTGGACCTCCTGCTCCTACTTGGCTTCGTAGCTCACGGATCTACTGGGGAAGCTGGCGTAATAAAACATTCTCCCCTGTGCCTCACTACAGAAGATTAATGTAAGTTGAGTGGAAGAATTTTAATGCACATGGGATGAAAGAAGCCAGCTGCTTCCCTATTCATGTCCTTTCCAACTGTTTCACAGAGTGAAGGGGAAGCGATAGCAAGGCTTGACCTGCAACCCCCAGGACCCTGGTGGTAGTATCAACCCCAAGAACAGAAAGTCTCTTCCAGAACCCTGCCAGTTCACCTGCTCCGTGGCTCTAAGTGAAAGCCATAAGTCAAATGGGAGCTGCAGGAAGCCACTCTGACTGCGCCATCCAAGAATAAATCAAAATCTTTTCATAGAAAGAAGTTAAAAATAAAGCAGCATATCCTTCAAAAATAAAATTTCCTAACACCATGACAAAATAAGGGATGAACAACCGCTGGTTGCTCTTTAACCACAACCGGACAGGCAAAGGAAAAAGAATATAAAACTCTTTAAATAGTTGATAGTATGGCGTGTTGAAGGTAGCCTGGTAGGCCAAAGGCACTCTACTATCAACTAAGCCCACTCACTGCAAAACTCTTAAGAATTCAAGTGTATTTTTTTAAGAATAAGAGGAACATGTTAGGATCAGTGTTCAGTGGAGGTTAAAACCCTAAGATTGAATTTGAAACATCTCATAGAGCCAGCAGGAGTCATGAAGAGGAAATGAGTGGCTATATGTAGAGAGCAAAGCACAGTGCCGGGCACAGAGAAACAAGCACTCAATAAACGGCGCCAATTATCGTTGCTGTGATTCTCTTCCTCATTTCCTACTCCCAGAACTTCTCCCTCCATCTACACCAAGTGTGAATGACATGGTGTTGGGAAAAAGTCTGCTGTCTTTGTGTGTAAGTGTCCACAGGTGTGAGCAGTAACTCTTACAAGGGTAAGGGGGAAACCTTGGCTGCCCAAGGGTTCTGGAAGGTTCTTGCTGGTGAGAGCAAGAGTTATAGTTCACAAAAAGAAAAAGCAGTGTCTGAGGGCATTAAATTCAGCAAGGCATGCCCTCCATCTCTGAAGCTTCCCATACCTTTTTGGTCCTTCTGTGGTAGGCGAAGGCGATGTCCTGTCTCTGTTCATTGCTTCGGTTGGTCAGAATATTCACGATGGTGACCTCATCCACACCTAAGGGAATACAAGTTGTAAACAGTTACTCCACTGTGTATCCCAGTACTCTGGGCTTCTACAGAAGGTTTCAAACAGAGTTTTATGAAGTGAAATTCATTTAGGATCTTTCAACTGAAAAACATCAGCAAGGACATTTATCAACACACACTACCCAACATGTCCACCTTCCTTCTTTTTCTCCTGAGAGCCTGAAATTTCAAGGATAAGTGGACCTTTTAAATATTTGTATTTAAAAAGCTCTTTTATTCATAAATTGGCCTCTGGAATCAACAGTGGGAGGTACATTTGTGGAGCGCTAGCAGTCAGATGGAACAACGAAGATTTAGGAAGATTTTAAATGGAGGTCCCCAAATTGCACTTAACTGGGGACTTAATAGACAGTAACTGCAAAATGAATTAATAGAGACAATTATTTATATTTATTGCAGGATTATAGCTATATAAGCAGCTAGGTATAATTTCCATAATTATACAAACTGTCATGACAAATGGCTCAGATTTAATATGGCAGTTGCATCTTAATAGCATAATTGATTAATATAATCATACTTATTGAAGACTAAATTGTTTTCTAAGGAAATAAATGTTCCACTGCTTTTAATCTTCAATAGGCAATTTTAATAATCAATTTTATAACTTTATTAAAAAGAGTAAGTGTTTTAATCTAAATTAAATCTAAATTGGGAGTTTTGAAGTGCCAACAAACTATTTTAGTACCTATTTTAATTGGAACATGCGTATTTATAAAGATAAGCAATGCCTTCTGGTATCTGAAAGTTTCCAATTTTACATCAGAAATACTCCTAACCTGCCATTTAACTTAAGAAAGCATGATTTTAAGGACTCAGAATATGAAAGTTCTCTCTCTCTCTTTCTCTCTCTCTCTCTCTCTCTCGCTCAGATTGATTAGGAACTCTGTTTAATAAAAGGAAAAGTCTTTGCTATAATGGGATAGGTAATTTCCAGGTGAGAGAGCAGAGACTCTATGTCTACAAAGTCACTCACAGACTGCCAACAGCTTGGCCTGAAGAAAGTCAGAGAAACACAAAGACCAGAACTGCCATGTTTGGAGGCAAAACAATGAGCAGACTGACAAAGGAGGCATCTTGACCTCTCAAGTATATTAGAAAGATCAAGAAGCACATAGAATCTCTCAATCTAAAAAGAATAAAATTTTAAATGTGTACACACATTCCAAGTGAGTTCACACCAGTACTCTGGCTGTCGTAACTGAAGCACATATGTGTTTAGCTCTCATATCTAGAGTACTCAATGTGAATACTGGGTCTGAACATCTGGTTCACAGGTGTTTATTTCAGCCTTGTACACAATATCAGATAGAGGGGGACCCATGTTCAGTAAGAGAATAATGTGCTTCTGTCTATATAATGGAATGTTATTCAGCCATTTAAAATGATAGCATAGAAGGATTAACTGATCTGGAAAAACACTCACAATATACTTTTTTTTTTTTTGGCAGTACTGGAGTTTGAACTCAGTGCCTCATGCTTTCTAGGCAGGTGCTCTACTTCTTGAGCCACTTCACCAGCCCTCACAATATACTATTAAGTAAAAAAAAAAATGCAAACTGATATGCCTGGTATAACCTGATTTTTATAAAATTCATAGGCATATATAAGAAAATATGGAGAAGTCTTTACACTAAATTTAATAGTGATAATCTGAATGGTAGGATGATTATCTATAATTTCAAAGTCCCTATAATGATCATAAAAAGGGTTTTTGAAATACACAATGAATGGTATGCAGTCATTGATCTAGAATCAACCAGTGACTTCAAGAGATTCCTAGCATGATTCTAAATAGTTAGAATAAAACAGTGTACAATAACAATTAGGAATTCTATCTGTATAATTTCCTTCAGTTTCCAAACTTCCAGGCATACACTCTCTTTTTAATCCTCCCAACAACCAATGGGAATGCTATTTCTCTTCATATTTTATAGACGGGGAATCCAGAGCTCAGAGTCTGGGTCCACCTCTGCATCTGTTACCTGTGTAAACACCTGTCCCCCTGGGGCTCAGTGTCTACCCTGGCACATGTAAGAGGTCAGTTCCACACTACAAAACATTAACAGACAGAACCAAGCCTTAATTCGTATTAGTTTTGGTGAACTATGGTCAGAATAGATTTAATGAAAGACTCATTAAGGTTATGAGGCTATTCTAATGGAATTGTGTCTGGCTTCGTGTATGTGCATGCCTACTTACACACGTGTTCCCTCTTTCATTTTATGGCTTTAACTTTATAGTAAGAAAATCACCACTTCATTCATGGACTTTTGCCTTAAATTTAACTTTATTATCCATATCTTAACATGCTGAAGAATCAGAGCAAAATATATTTGATGCTCTAACCTTAATTCTACTATTTCCTGAAATCAATTTAAGGGCCACTGACCTGAACACCTACTGAGAACACTAACCCATTAAAAAAAAAGAAACAAAAAATCATTCTCTCAGAAGCAAATTCAAAGTGTATGCCTGTGTTAGGATGTGTTCCTTGGCTAGACATTGAAATTGCAGGGAGGACTTATTAAAAACACTGCCTTGCCCACCCCACCCCTCAACCCAGATCTGCAGATGAAGATTTTCCAGGACTTAGGACCCCCAAAGCAGCATTTCAACAACTTCCTGGTGATTTCTTACATGAGAACCACGACAGAGATGGATAAACATGTGTGGGGAGTAGAAAGATTCCTAGTAATCTACCGATGTATTTATGTCATCTCCACCAACCGCTTCCGTGAAGTATAAGACTGACTACAACTTTAGGGGAAGAAATGCTACCTTTGTCTAAATGACCCAAGTAAGAAATTACAGCTAGAGGTTGTAGAGTTCACTCTACAAACTTTAGCACAGTCTTATGCTCTCAGTCAGTGGATTGGTTTTTTTGCCTCTTTGCTATAGCAGCTAAGTGTCCAACCAGCAGACCTTGGAATTCAATCTAATTGGTGGAAATCCCCAGAAAGAGCTTGGATAGTTAACCTGAACCTCACCTGGAGGCAGCAGCCAGAGCTTCCACCTAGTTGGAAGGAATCTAAATGTATTTCACATAAATTGTTTACCCAGCAAACAGTCTGCAGAGATGCAGGATGGAACATGCAGGGACTGTACAAAGTGAACCATCTGAGGTGTCACACATGCTAACACCAGTAACTATGAAGAAACAAAATGGAGGCTGTTTCTGCAAATGGAAGCGTCCCCTCACCACTGCCGCTTGCCCCCTAACTTCCCCTGAAACATGTCTGCATGTTTCAAATCAAACTGGGAAGAGGGAAAAAAATCACACAGTCCAGGATCAACTGCCTAGTCAAAGCCACTCAAGGAGTGGGGTGCCTGTGGCTCACGCCTGTAATCCTAGCTACTCTGAAGGCAGAGATCAGGAGGATTGTGATTTGATGCCAGCGTGAGTAAACAGTTCATGAGACACTGTCTCAAAAATACCCAACACAAAACAGGCTGGCTCAAGTGGTAGAGCGTCTGCCTAGAGGCTCTGAGTTCAAGCCCTAATACCACCAAAAAAAAAAAAAAACCCAAAAAACAAAAAAGTCACTCAAGGCACAGCCTATAATCAAATGCCAGAATACATAGATCTGCCAGTGAGATGGAACCATCTTGTCTTTAGGACATCACTGCTTCGCCTCCACCTGCTGTCCTAGTAGGTGAGGGAGTTTATTCCTGGGAAAATAGTTCAGCACAGGTTGAAACTTCCAAGGGTCAAAGGGCTACTTTCCACTGCTGCCCGTATGCAGGTGGAGAAGGAGCCAGAACAATCAGCCACCTGAGCTGGCACAGTCATTATCAGTATCAAACAGTGCCAGGCCACTGGAAAAGCTTTACAATGAATGCATTCCAGACACCTGGGAGACTCTGCCTCTCTGGACTTGTACTTGCCGACTCCTCATTTTCCAGTGCTTCAGATGAGTTTGCAGGGCAGCAGGATCCAGGGTCTAAAAGAACCTGTGGATAGTTTAGCTTGCAGAAGACTCAACCCTGGTTAAAGCTTCCTTCTCTGTCCCATTCCTCTTGTGTTTGGTATGGGCTGAGGCTCACCCAGGGGGACAGTGAGGTTTGTGGACATCCACAGAAGGTAGAGAGGAATGCACTAAATTCTGTGACCCAGGCAGATCTTTAAAAATTTATTTTAGAAATTAATGCAAGTTAGGTTTTCCAAAAATGGCCAAGAGCCAAGACCCAAATGTATGTATTTGATCCCTGATGGGAAATAATACAGGCAGGTTTCTAAGCATTTACTCCTTGAAATGAAATAGTCATCTAATCTAATCAGCTAAGGGCAACAGTATCTTCAGCACTGTAGTCAGGACCAGTTGAAAGGTCAGTCACTGTTCTAAGTGCCAAGTGGATGTCCCAGGAGGGTGGCTCCAACAGCAGGACACAAGCGGCAATTTGAGGTCCTGAGTCCCTTAAAGATCCACCATATATATAAAGAAGACTTGCGTCTAAAGAGATAGCTGACTGCAAACCCACAAAACTCCTGAAGTTTCTTCCTCCTCTCTGTGGGTGGAAATCCCGAGTCAGCTCTGGCATTCCATGGAAAATGTGTGTTTTTATTGTTGATGGCATGGAACCAACAGCCATTCTGAACAGGATGTTGACTCATGGCTGCCGAGACACCCTGACTACACAAAGAAAATGGATTTTGTTTGTGTTTGATGAGGGCTCAGAGGCCCTGGGGCAGAGGCACTGACTGATTAGAAAACCAAGAAAAATTGTCCAGATCATCATCTTATCCAGATCACGGGAAAACCACGGCTCTCTCAGATAACTGGGCATATTGTACCACAGGTTAGAAGACGTCATCTTTCAATGTTTGGAGTGGACCACAGAGCGAGGACAGGACCTCAGGGCCGCAAGTGTATGCATATTTTATTTATTACAACAGCCACCTTTTACTGAGTATCCACTGCATGCCAAGCATTTAGGTGGTGCTTCACACACACAAATGGTGATTTA